CACACAATTCTCTTATATTTACATATCTAACATCTGAATTTTCATATTGACGTTTATGACACTGATGTGATAAACCTATGCATGAAAATTTGTTTTGACTTCTTAAAAGTAGGTGATAGTAGTGTTTTTGATGTGATATTAAGTGCTATGCATGTAAATATTAAAATATGGATGTTAGATATATAAATATATAAGGCTTGCGTGCTATGTATGTAAATGCCCCTTTTTTTTTCACACGAGCAATTCTTTTCACTATTTTTTTGCTCTGCGGAAAGAATTGCATTCAACTGCTAAAATTGGCCACACCTTCCCATCAGTTGTTGAAATAATTTTGGATGGCAGAACGGTGGGTTTGATCTTCTTATTTTTCATTGTGATCGTGCATTGCAATGCATTGTGTGGATAGAGTCTTGGAGTTTGTATATTGAAAATTATAACACATTTTGCATATTTGAATGTGTATATGGTATCAATATTCACTTTCTTTTACCTTCTTTAGGAGAAGGGGGAAATCATATGTTCTATGTTGCCCACCCTTCTCATGCTAAAGAAAAAGATTGCAATAGAAGATTAATTGTCGTTAATCAATGCAATCTATAAATCCATTTGAATAATAAAACATAAGAGTAATGTTATTGTATGCTAAATATTTTCCTTTTAGTGGAATATTTTAGGCCAATTTTTTTAGAGGGAGTAAACTTCATTAGTTAATTACATGTTGTCAATCTTGTATAATGGTAGGTATTTATTGAGCTTTTTTAATCTAGGAGGGCATGGGTGGACGAGGATGCGTTAAAAACCTATAAAAATGGGAGGCTTAAAGAACATTCAATATTTTAAAGGGAAAGCTATCGAGTTCAATAACAAAATAATATTTAGGATTTTTATAGGAAGATCACCCTGATATTATTATTATAAAAAAAACTGGGGTCAATGAATCTTAAATATTATATGTGAAGACAGCTTGAGTGGAACTCGTAAATTCATTTTAAATAGCCTCAACATATGGATATTCAAGGGAGTGAAAGTCGATGATGAGATGCATACAAAATAGTGGGATTTGTTATTTCTTAAGAGAAACAAATCTTAAGACGAATATAAATACGAAAGACATGCAAAATGTTAGCTGGCATATTTCAGTTGAAGTAGTTTTAAGGCTAAATTTTTTTTAAAAAAAATTAGAAACAAGTTTAAAAAATAATTAATTATCTTTTCAAGATTAAATGGTGGAATTTATTTTATTTTATTTTATTTAAGCAAAACAGGGTTATATTTTTTTATTACACAAGGAAAAATATACAAACCCGGGAAAAGGGTCCCAACACACACACCCTATAAATACACAAAGAAAGTAAAAAAGTCCTTTCTCCAAAAAAGAAAAATTTAACTCATCCACACCAAAACACAACAAAACTCAACACACAAAATACCAGACAATCAAAGCCACTAAAAATGAATCAAAGAAAAACAAAAACAGAAAACAACATAACTAAGAGCAACCAAATAGCCACCAAACTATTCAACCAAACTATTCACATCCTTTAAGGCTAAAAGCATCATATTATA